CTTTATTTTTAAATCTTTTATATTATTATTATTGTTACCATCATCATTTTATGACACAGTTCCATAGGCCCATGGGATTTCCATTATCATCTCCCCAATTGCCCCCCAACTGAGTTCCCCTATATCATTACTAAAGTATCATGCACAGTCATATGTTCATTATTGTAGGCATGGACAATGGCAGAGAGTCAGTCATCCTATTGTCATATAGTAAACAGTTTCATTGGGACTCCATCTTTAGTCTGGAAGTAGAGATGCATACTGCATTGTATCCTCACGTCTGGATATGATAGCCTCCATTACACAGTTACTATACATCCTCTTAAATGAAAAGCCACAATACAAAATCAATAATAGGAAGAAAAATAGAAACTTACAATGCCATGAAGTTAAGTAACATGTTACTAGATAAGAAAGTCTCCATTACTCAGCTACTATACATCCCCTTAAATGAAAAGTCACAAAACAAAATCAACAATAGGAAGAAAAAAGACATTAACAACAGCATGAAGTTAAGTGACGTGCTACTGAATGACTAATGTGTCACTGAAGAAATGAAAAAGAAAATTAAGAACCTTCTTGCAGAAAATGATGCTACCGTATGATCTATGAGTCAGTGAAGAATTTAATCAGGAGAAAGTGTTTTGAAGAGATGAAACTAACAACAACAAAAAAATCAAAATCCATGAGATACAGTTTCTGCTGATTTTTGTTGGTGAAATGTGTCTCTTGTAGGCAACAAATAGATGAGTTTTGTTTTTTAATTCAGTCTACTAATCTTTGATGTTTAATTGAGCTTAAGTCATTTACATTCAGGGTTAATATGTATAGGTAGTAATTTGGTCCTGTCATTTTTGGAATGAGTTGTTCATTGATTTAATCTTCTGTTGTCATTTTACTGGGATGTTCTTCACATTTGCCTTTGGTTTTGGTAGGTGCTATTCCTCTTCTCTGCCAAAAGAACATCTTGAAGTATCCTTTGTAGGCCAGGTTTGAAAGAGGCAAATTCTTTTAACTTTTCTTTACTATGGAAGAATTTTAATTCATTTTCAAAGACAAAAGAAAGCTTTGCTGGATATGTATTCTGGGCCGACAATTTTTTTCTTCTAGAATCTGGAATATGTCTCTCCATTCTCTTCAGGTGGGCGGCACCCACCCATTAACTAACTAAGAGACCACCCATGGGGAACATCTTACCTGTAGGTTCCACGCCCAGCAAGAAGGGGTCAGGGAATGCTTAAAATCCCAAGACCCTTCCTCAAACCTTTGGTGTCTCTCCCTCCTCTTTCCAGAGGCACCACACCTCCTGGCTTCCTTTCCAGGGATGCTTCCCCTTCCTTCCCTTCCCTGCTCACCTGGTCCCTTTGCAAATAAACTTTTCTGTCTGCAACAGATTCCTGGCTTTTTATTTTTACATTAAGCTGAGGAAAGAACCCACTGGTTACCATTTCTGGTAACACTGAACTCCCAGTGAAAGTCCCTTCCCACCTGGTTGCTGGTGGAGTTCAGATCACCATTCATTAAATTCTGCTGGGGTATCAGTCACTGCATCACCACACCATTGTTTTATTATTATTATTTTTTAGTACATGTATTGTTGTGAGTCCAGGTAAAAAGCTTGTCTCTCAGAACAGCTCATGATATTTAGCAAGAACATCTAAGACCTTCTCCCTAGAACTCCCTCTTGGTGTCCAGAGAATGGGTGTATGGAATATCTGAATCATTCGTTGTCCTCCACGTGTTTGTAACATCTTTGAGTTCACCTTGAAAGTAACCTCGAGGATCAGAGATCATCTGTGGGTATTTTTCATCCCAAGTATCTTTTTCTCATAGAAGATTTTTAATGATAATTTTAAATATTTTAAAATTGTTTACATAGTTGACAAGGATGCACACCTGTGAGGACCACTGATTTGGGGTGGGGAGGGTTGAGGCATGGGAGAAGGTAGGTGGGACAAATGCTTTCAATTTTCCTTTTCTTCCCTTTTCTTCTGTTTCTGGGGACCGGGTGGAGGGAGGAAGGGAAGGGGAGGGGGCTGCTCCCAGGTGTCAAACTACAAATACCTGGGAATGATCAGCTGATGCCATCTTAGAAACCCCGATGTGGAGAAGAATGTTCCGAGGATATTGTTGGAGTGGTTTTGATGGTTCTAAGATGCTGCTGGTTTCGTTGCTCCAAGGTGGACAAAATCTTTCCGAGCTCCGTTGGCTGGCAGAGTCCACCCCAGTGCACCCGCTCACCCAGACACTTGCTGCCAAAGCTCAGCCAGGAGAGTTTTCCACTCCGTTATGTGCCCCATCTTCTGACATGGCACTCACTGTCCTCTGCAGGCCCAAATGGAGCTGGCCATCCTGGCCCCCGCCAGGTTCCTCGGCATGCTGTCTACTACACAGGCATCAGAAATCAAAGAGGTCCAATCCAGACACGTGCATGTGGTGTAAAGGTAATCCACAAAACCTGATTTTCCCTGTGGCCAGAGTTCAGTGGTTCAGCTGTGGAGTCCCCCCAAGAAACCCCAGCTGGTATCACCCCAGAACTGACTCTCACATGTGCCAGCCGGTACAGGGTCCAATTCAGTCCATCACCTGCATCAATCTACACATACACTGATGATTGTAGTTGCCTGGTCAGTTCTGTCCCCAGCTCCATGTCCTGGGCAAACCTACAGGTGCTGCAGCCCAGCCCAACCCAGCCTGCCACAGGCCGGCCCCTATGCACACCAGCAGGAACTGCAGCCTGGTGGGGGTGTCCCGCAAGAACCCTCACCAGGCCTGTCCCCAGCTCCAGTACCTGCACATGCCAGTATGTCTAGCAAAATAGACATGTCTGTGTTGCATTCCAATCAGGTTCTCATATACAACTATGGGTATTGCAACTTAGCTCAGTGCACTGCACCCCATAACCTAGCATACACTTATGACGATGGGTATTGCCACCTTGTCCAACCTATCCCCTTCTTGCCCCCAGCCCTGGTTCTCATGCACACAAGTGGGAGCTGTAGCCTAGCAGAGGAGTGCCCACAGTTTCCTTACTAGACTCAGTCTTGGTCCCATAGCTTGCATTTTCCAGGGGGTACTGAGATCCAGTTTCACATGACTTGCACCCTGTCCCGGCTCCTGCCAGTGGTTGCTGCAGCAAAGTCCTGCCAGTCAGCACTTATCCTGGCTCTTGCATTTGCCTGTGGATGCAGTGGCCAGGCCTAATCTGGCCTCCCATCAAACCCAGCTCACATGCAGACCAATGTTGGTTGCCCATCCTAGATCATCTCCAGTCCCAGTTCCCATACATCCCAGTTGGAGCAATGGCCCATGCGGGCGCATCTCTGGCAGCCCACTCAATAGGCTTACTACCAGCCTTGGGTCCTGCATGTGCTGGAGGGTGCTACAGTTCATTCTGGGATGACCTGTCTTGCCTTGGCATTTGGCATCTGCCTAGCCTGCATCCTGTCCCAGCTTATGGTGGGGGATGTTGTAGCCTATCTCATCCTGGTCAACCCCCAGTTCAGGCTCTATTGTGAACTGGCGGGTGTTGTATCCCAAACTGGCCTGAATGTATCCTGTCCTGGCTCTTACACATGCCAGAGGGTGTTACAGACTGGTCCAGCCCAGCTTACCCTCAGATCTGTCCTAGAATGTATGCCAGTGGGTACTGCCGCCCAGCCTGACCTAGACTGCCCCCAGCCTCCTTCCCATGCTCACCAGCAGGTACTGCATCTTAACAGGAGAGTTCCCCAAACCCTCTATCCCACCAGTTCCCACTTGTGGTTTTCCTTCACACCAGTGGGTGTTTGGCTTAGCCTGACTTGGCCCACTTCCAGTCCCAATATTTACTGCTGGATACTGTGGACTTGCCAGACCAGTCTACACCCATTCCTGCTCTCTCTGGTGGATGCTACAGCCCAGCCCTGCCTGGCCCAAATCCAGCTCTCAATGTGAATCAGCTGACTCAGGCACTCACCAATGGGATCAACAGGCCACTGGAGGAGTTCCCCAAGTTCCCCTACCAGGCCCACTTCAGACCCAAATATCAAACATGTCAGCGGGTACTAGAACCCTACCTGGCATAGTCTACTTTCCAGTCTAGGTGTTTATATGTGCTGGTGGAGTTGTGGCCTGGCCTGTTCCCAATCCCCTGCTTCCAATAAGTGTCAGTGAGGTTCATGATCATGCCTAGCTTGGCCCATCACCACCCCCAACACTCGAGCAAACCAGTGGGCATTACAGTTCCATAGCAAATTCCTCCCTCTAGGAAAAAAAAAAAAGTCCTCAGATCTGGATCTCTGGCATGCCTGTTAGTGCCAGTTAGTGTCATGGGCCAGCCTGATGTGATCTATCTCTTGTTCTGACACTCACTGGCAGGTATTATGGCTTCGCCCTGTCAGACAGCGTGCTTCCCCGTTTTTATGTGCACCTGTGGCTATGCATGGTGGGCGATGCTAACTAGCCCAGCTCTGGTCTCCCACATGGATGGGTGCATTCCTCTCTGGCCCAGAGAGGAACTCCAGTTTCTTTCCTCCAAACCATCCGGTCTCAGCCCCCTGACTTACTTGCACATGCAGTTGGTAGAAGTTGGTGGAAGTCCCACAGAAGTCATTCCTCACCAGTAATGTACTCCCACACATCCCCATACCTCCTTCCCTGAGCAATCCACAGGCCACACGCCTGTGGGCATGTGGGTTCCTGAGCCCAGTCTTCCAGCATGTTGACGTGCTGGCTTGGGGCTCTGCTCACCTGCCCAGGCCTCAAGTGCATGCATGCATTCCCAGGCCCAGCCTACCTGCATGCCAGTCTAGGTCCCTACCCATCTGTCCCAAAGATCTTTGTTTCATGAGGAGAAAAAAAAAAGATTGTTTTTGCAAAGGATTTATTTATTTACTTATTTATGTATTTGAGAGGCAGAGTGGCACACACAGAGATATTATGTCTGTGTGTGTGTGTGTGCGTGTGTGTGTGTGTGTGAGAGAGAGAGAGAGAGAGAGAGAGAGAGAGAGAATCTTCTGTCCATTTGTTCACTCCCAAATGACCACAAGAGCTAGGGTTGTTCCAGGATAAATCCAGGAGTCAGGCACTCCATCCTGAGCTCGCAGGTGGATAGGCATGGGTCCAAGTACCCAAGCCTTCATCTGTTGCCTTCCAGGCACAAAAACTGGATAGCAAGTGAAAGGTGGAATTCAAATTTGCACTCTGGCATGGGACGTAGGCACCTGCAGCAGGGCCCTGGCTTGTTGTGCCACACTACCTTCAAGAGATTTTTTAACAAGAACAATTTTAAGTAGCTCCACTGGAGCCTAGCATCTTAAAAACAAGACGAAACAACAAAGCAAAAAACACCCTGTTCCCTTCCAAGGAGAATGTTCTGTGGTCACACTGACCTGGGCCTGGTAGTGTCTTCCTGCTCTGAAGTAGCATCAGGCATAATAGGTTCTTTTTCCCCCTTCTCTTTCTTTCCTTTTTTTTTTTTTTAAATAAACTCCAAGCCTTGTGTCCACAGATTTGTCCTGTTGCTGCACTGGCTCTGGGGAAGAGTATCATCAGAGGTCACTTTCTTGCATTGCACTCGAAGGGCACTTTTCATGTCAGAGTCATTCCGCTCCTTCCCACAGGCTGCTCCACGGAGGGTGTGGCTGCCCTGAAATGGCATTTTCTGCAGGGAGCACTACACAATATTCTCTGGTATAGGAGAGTGTTTTTCTTCTAATGTTGAATGTTGTGCACTTTCTTTCCTCTTTGCTTTCGCTTGTGTGTACAACTGTGTGATGTAGCTCATGCAACTCTTAGGATGAGAAGCTGAAAGGAAAGCATGTTGCAGATGAATATTCCGAGCCACACTGCACTCATTTAGTTGAAACACTTCCATTGGCTGTCATAATTTTCAGTTCATATATTAGTGTCTTATAAAGTCTAATTGATCTGAATGCATTGCTGCACTCTAGCTACCTGAATAAAATACTAATAACCTGAAGCAGAATAGCTTACATGCTGTCAAAAAGAACTCATTGCTTTGAGCAAAACTGTACAGTGGAAATAGCAGGGTTTATAGCATAGGGCTCCTACGGACTACTCCAAGCCTCTGCAATTCTGTACCCGGAGGCTGCAGAAGGTTCCCCTCAATGTTGTCGAAATGCTGGACTTGTCGAAATGCGAGGCATGCAGAACAGAAAGTGAAGATCTGAGCCCAGGATCAAGTCCAACTTCCTCTGAGGTTGGTGACCCTGGGGTTACAGCTTTTAGGGGAGGGAACCCTGAGAGCAGACTCTCATTTTGAATGTTCTTAGCAGGTAACCTGCATGGACTCTGCTCGGTCACTGTCCTCAGGGCTTAGATTTTCTTCCTAAATGTCCTAATTGCACTCCTGCTGTTTGGTTGCACTTGCCTAGGGAACGGTGTAGGCAGCTTGCGTACATTCTGCTGACCTCACTCTCCTATGTGTCAGGTGCATGTGAAGTAATTGATGTAGAAACGCACATTGTAACACAACAGGCTGTACCCAGTTTATACACACTTCCCCCCCGCCTCCAATTTTCAGAGCTCACTGCGTCCCTTTCCTTCCTTTCTTCTTTCTTCCCCTTCCACACTCTAGTAGGTCAAAGCAAACAGCAAAGGCAGAGCTGTTGTGAAAAACCAGCTTCCTGCAAAAATCTCAGCAAAGTCAAAATGCATTTCTCGCAGCTCCCGGTAGGTGGAGTAAATTAATTTGCATGGAAAATATAAATGAAAATTTGGAAAGTGTGCAAGATTGTTGGCTTTTCTATAATCCTAGATTCTGCCTATTGGACCTTCATCAAGAACACACACACACACACACACATACACACACACACCACATGCTCACATGCTATCTCCTTCCCATGTAGATTCTTTTAATTTTCTTCACACATTTTGCTTTAAAAATTGCGTCAAAGTCATTTGAAAGACTTGAATATTTTCAGCTTGAAATGGTTCGTGTGTATACATTCATTCAATATAAAGGCAGCCCTTTGTGACAAGGCCCTGAGGAAACAGTAAAAGTAAAACCAGCATCTACCAGGAGTTTGCGACAGCTAAACAAAACTACCAACATTCCTACATGGTGTGGGGATGTTATTCACTGGGCAGCTGAGGACAGAGGCGAGGCATACAGTCCAGGAGCGTTCTGTGGTGTGGGAGCTCAGAGCTCAGGGTGGCTTCCCAAAGCCGTGTGTTCTCAACTACATAAATGTAGCTGCTACTGTCTGCAAGGATGAACTCCTTAAGTCCTACAAGATCTTTTGGGAAACAGACTTCCTAATCAGATTTTGGTCCTCCTCTCCACTTTGTCCTGAAAGGAAGCTCACAAGTGAGCCTCATCTTTAAATCTCAGGCCACACCGTTGACTTACCTTGGCCATTTTTCTCTTGGGAAGATGTTTCTTCGTTGTTTGATCGTGACCTATAACTTTCTACCGTGTGGTCTGAAATTTCATTTTCTGCAAGAAAAGATATTAACTTGCTGACTTCTGGTGGTACAGACATTGAAGATGTAGAAATATATATATGTGAATTAAAGGTTACCTATGTTACTATCCCATGACAGATTTACCATGATCCATCTTGTACCTCATTAACTCAACACACAATTTCTTTTAAGCCCACACTATAATTCCTATAGGCACTGTGGAACACTATAAGATCGTGGAAGTTTGCTAGTGTGATATAGCAAATAGGGCTGCTCCCTCTGCTGCTGGTATCCTCTGTGGGTGCCGGTTCTAGTCCCAGCCACTTTACTTCTGATTCAACTCACTGTTAATGCACCTGACAAATCAAGGGAAGATTGCTCAAGTCCTTGGGCCCCTAACAACTGTGTGGAAGACCTTCAAGAAGCCCCTGGCTCCTGGCTTCAGCCTGGCCCAACCCTGGCCATTGTCGCCACTTGAGGAATGAACCCATGAATGGAAAGCCTCTCTCTTTGTCTCTCTCTCCTACTGTAACTGCCTTTCAAATTAATAAAAGAAATCCTTTTAAGAATACTGTGTAAACCAAATGACAGCAGATTAAAGAGCAGACAATCAGCCTGGCCTGTACTGGAGTACCTGGATTCAATACCTGCTTCTAGTTTCTGACTCTGCCTTCCTGCTAATGCCTTGGGAAGAAGCTGTGATGCTTCAAGTACTTTGATCCCACTCATCATGTTAGAGGATCCAGAATTGAGTCTCCAGTTCTAGGCTCTGGCCTGACCCAGTTCCAGCCATTGCTGGCATTTGGAGAGTGAATCAGTCAATAAGAGTGTATTCTCTGTCTGTCTCTTTTGCTCTCCTTTTCTTAAATGAATAAATATAAGTCAAAGAAAAAGTGAAGCATCTTCCTCATGAGAAGAATGGTTGTAGTAACTATATAACAGCCATGGGCATGAAGCATGCAGACCATGCTGAATGTGCATTTACCTGTGTAGGCAGGTGTGATTGCCACGTCAGACCTAGCCCTGCTTATGACAAGGATATTAGTCTACCTGAATATACAGAGAGACTGATATTAAATTGGCAGAAGTGATACTTTTCAGAGAACCACATCTATTCAAAGATGTAGCAGCTTGCCTTGGGTTATAAGGTGCTCTTGTTTCATATGTGGTCTGATCAATATGGTCCAGGAATTTGATCATGTAAACCTCCTTTATAATATTCTAGTAGCCCCATCTGAGCAGTGAAAAGAAGTGGGTGGAATCGATTTAATAATATATTTTATTTCATTAATGTATTGAAAAATTTATTGTTATATATACCTTTCCCCTCTTTCTTTAAAAAACAAAAATTGAGGGCTCACAGTTGCATATGCTGGGATCCCATAGGGCACTGGTTTGTGTCTTGGCTGCTCCATCTCTCATCCAGCTCCCTGCCTGTGGCTTGGGGAAGCAGTAGAAGGTCCAAAGGGACCCTGTATCCACATGGGAGACCTGGAAGAAGCTCTTGGCTCCTGGCTTTGGATTGGCTCAGCTCCAGCTATTGCGGCCACTTGGGGAGTCAATGAGCAGATGGAAGATCTTTCTCTCTCTGTATCTCCTTCTCTCTGCAAATCTGCTTTTCCAGTAAAAAGAAATAAATCTTTTTTTCCCCTAAAATTATTTGACAGGCAGAAGAAGACAGAGTTAGCTCATATCCTCTAATTCACTCTTCAAGTGTCTCAACAGCTGTGGGAGCACCAGGACCAGCAGTTGAGTTCAGATCTCCCACATGGTAGCAGGAACTCAGTTACTTGAGCCATCTCTTGCCGCCTCCCAGGATCTGCATTAGTACAGGCAAGTATTGAATGTAGGTAATCCTGTATGGGATACAGGCATCTTAAATTTAAGGCTAAACACCTGACCTGATATGTAACATTGCTATGTGTGTGCTCCAAAGCCTCAAAATTATTTGTATATTTTGTCTGTAGAAAACTCAGTAGGTTCTAGCCTCATGCTAAATGCCATCTTGTAGCTGCAGTACTAGACAACATAGAGCTGGTTTACCACTCAGAACACAAGAAGGGACTTAAATTTGGCACATGTTTATAAAATACTTGAGTAAATTATTTTTCTGGGCAACTTGTAAGGAACTTGCACTCCGACAGGTGCACAGTGTATGTATTTCAATATGTATAGTCTCTGTCACCTAGATTTTTTTGGGGGGGTTGTTTCTGATGATAACTTTTTTCATCAGAGTGCAAAAGGAAGCTGTTGTAATATGCTGTGGTGCAGGGGGACTGACTGCATCCTTGACCTAGTAATGGAACTGAACAGATGATTAATTTGGCCACTGGTTGACTGCCACTGCAACACAAACTTCTAGAGAATAAGGACCTGGTCTGTCATATTGGTGGACATGTTGCTCATGTCTGGGACACACAGCAGGTGCTCAATGAACGTTTATAGAGTGAATAGATGAATAGTTTCATTTTGTATCCTTTTTGTGAATAGCAACATCTGTAACTTAATGTTGATTCCTAGAACTGCTCTAGTTCCAGGTATCTTAACCTTAAGGCTAAATACCTGACTATAGCTCCGGAGAATCACAATGCAAATTTATTAGGAACCAAACAATGTAAGGGACATGACTGATGTGACTGCCATCACTTCCTGAGATTCCCGTGTAGAGCCCAGCAGGAGAGCTTTCAGGGTTAGAATTTTCCTTTTTTAGCCAAATGTTTTGCACTGGCTGGCCTTTGCCAGGAGGTCTGCGCACTCACCTTTTTTCCATATCACGTGAGCTTTCCGCAGCTTCATTATGAAGAGTTGGACTATGATGAGGAGGATGAAAATGAGGAAGGACACGAGAGTGAGCAGCAGGATGCCGCTTCTCTTCCTCACCAATCCTATGTACTGAGAATTCATTTCTACAAATAAAACGACACGGTGTCAGGCAAGCCTTTTTCCAGTCATTGAGGAATATGATACTTCTTCCACCACATCACATAGGCTAATTGCTCAGATAAAGATGGGAGAGACAGCTTACATCTGAAGGTAAATATGCTCAAATTGTTCAGTCTCTGGGGAAAAAAAGCACAAATAGGCAAACAAGCAAAATCTGTGGGATGAGTTGGAAAAAAATTTTTTTTTAATTATAAAGATCGTGAACCAGTTATTTTTATTTGTACACAAAGCATATGAGAATTCCTAAATTATAATTAGAGGATTCAAATTAGATATTGAGTTTTTTTTTTAAAGTAAAATGTAGTTAAGTAGCAGAAAAGATTATTGAGAACTTGGAAAACTATCAAAATAGAATGGTTAGAATAAATGTGGACCTGAATTTAGGGGATAAATTGGAAGAACTCTTACAAGTCTTTTTTAACCTAGAATTCTACACCTAGAAGCTGTAGTTTTGCTGAACACTCCACTTTCTTCATGTTAACCATCAGGGAACTAAGGGGTGCTGCTGAAGTGTATAAACATCTTATAATTCTATGTCTCGATGAAATGTTTGAAGTATCCAAGTATATATAGAATACAATAAAACTGGTTCTCAGAAGAATGCTTTGAAAATACAATTATGGAAATTTCTGGCCTAGTGGCTATAGATCAGTCTTAGGAGAGCAGAAACTCTGTTAGGAGGAAATAACACAGTATGGAAAAGTAAATCAAAGCATAAGCACAGAGGAGGTGGTAGAGCCAGGTGTGGGCAGAGAGAAGCAGCAGGACCAAGGAAGTCAGTGAGTCGAGGACGTGTGACACATCAGCTTAAAGCTTAAGGCTGTGGCTGAGAAGACAACATCCCAAATTAGAGGACCGGTTCAAGTCCCAGCTGCTCTGCTTCGCAAGCGATTCCTTGTTTACGTGCTCGGGAAAGCAGCTCATGACTGCTCAAGTATGTGGGCCTCTGCTACCCACACGGAAGGCCCAGATGGTCCTGGCTTCTGACTTGGGCCTGGTCCAACCCTGGCTATTGTGGCCATTTGAGCAGTAAATCCGTGGATAGAAGATTCTCTCTCTCTCCCCATTCCTTCCCTCCCTTGGTCTCCCCTTTTCTCTTTCAAATAAATTTAAAAAATGAATAAATAAAACAAACTTTTAATGAAGTTAAAACAAGCAATGCCCATTCTGAATGTGGAAGGTGAAACTTACCAGAGGTCAAGTCAGGGCTCTGAGTGTTTTTTTCTTTCTCTTCCTTGTCAGTCTCTGAGGTACTAGAATTTTCCATGACTGAGACTAAAGTGAAAGCAAAAACCACAATATATGCATATATCTTAAATATGTGACTAAGCATAACTGCTCTAGTTTAAATGTCTGTGTCATCCATCCTAGCCCTGTGTTGAATTTTAATGGTCACTTTAATGATATTGGGAGGTGAGACTTCTGAGAAGCGTTCCGGCCACGAGGGCTCCATGCTTAAGAGTGGATACTAATGGCATCGTTTCAGAAGTGAGCTTACTATCAAGGGAGTGAGTTGGGCTCTTTTGGCTGGCTCCTGACTTCTGTTTGCCATAGCAAGAAGGCCCTGCCAGTTGTGGCACTCATTCTTAGACATCCCATCCTCCTGAAATGTGAGCCAACAAATGAACATTATTTATTACCCAGACTGCGTAAATCTGTTATAGCAGTGCAAAATGGACTAAGACGATCTGTTTATCTATCTGTTCCCCCCCCACCCCCCCCACACACACATAAAGAAGGATGGGTCTATGTGTGTTCTCTTTCCTAGCGGATGCTAAAGAAGTCTGTCTGAATACAGAATAGTCCAGGGGGTTAGAGACAAGCTGGATAACGGGAACCAAAACACAGAAAGGAGGATTAAGCTCCAAGGTATAATTCCTTCCCAAAGCAGCAGCATTAGAAAGAAAATTAAGTAACTCTTATTAAAAAAAAAAAAGACAACGTTTAAACTACTGATGTATTTAAACTGCAGTTTTCTTCTTCAAATTAACAGGTAATAATTGCATATATTTATGAATTGCAGTGTGATATCTCCATAACTATATGTCAAGTATGTTGAGAAAATTGGGGTGATTGGCATTTCTGATTCTTTACCACTTCTGTATGTTTGAAGACTTTGAGTTCCTATCTGCTGGATGTTCATAAAAAATGCAATGGGCTGTTGGGGTCTACAGGCATCACACTGAGCTGCCAAACACTGGAGCTCATTCCTCCTCTCTGTGTTTTGGTTCCCATTATCCCACTTCTGTCTAACCCCCTGGACTATTCTATATTCAGACAGACTTCTTTAGCATCCCCTGGGAAAGAGAAGACACTTGGGATTTATCTTTCTGTGTCCAGTTTGTTTCACTCCCAACTACTGATATCTTGAAAGAGTAGTGGCAAATGGCCTTTGAAAAATTTTATTGTTATTATTTTAGCGCCCATGATACAGTTCTGCAGATACAGGGGTTTCTCCTCTTGTGCTCCCCTCCTTGGAAAATCGATTTAAAAAAAACCCAGATTTTATTTATTTGAAAGTCACAGGTATAGAAAGAGAAGGAGAGAGAGCATAGTTCATCCATTGGCTCTCTCTGTAGAGATTGCTGCAATGGCCAGGGCTGAGCTCCATATGGGGTGCTGCTGTCATAAGTGTAGTTTTACCCACTACATCACAATGCCGGCCCCTGTTGCCTTATCTTTGCAAGGTAAACATTTGTTACACATTTATTCTGTGCCGTGTACTGTGCTAAACGCTTGGTCTTCAATATTTTTCACTTCAGCTATGAGAAAACAAGCTCCTGGCCTTAAGTAAATTACCTAAAATCTCACAACAAAATAGTAGAAAAGCCAACAATAAAACCAGTTTTTTTAAAAAAAGCCTTCAGAGCCTTAAATGTAAACCAGGTCAAATCCACGGACTAGGACCAGTGTTGTGGCACAGTAGGTTAAGCCACTGCTAGCATTACTAGCATCCCCTATCAGAGCACCTGGATGAATCCTGGATGCTTCATTTCTCATGTGGGTCCCTGCTGAGGTGCCTGGGGAAGCAGTGCTTGGGCCCTTGAAGTCCATGGGAGACCAAGGTGGAGTTCCTGGCTCCTGGCTTTGTCCTGAACCAGGTGGCTTATCGCAGCCATTTGGAGAGTGAATCAACAGAAGAGAGATCTCCCTCCCTGTCTCTTTCCTGCTCTGCCACTCTGCCTTTAAAACAAAACTTAAAAAAGAAAGCAAACCTATAACCTGACATCTGTAGAAATACAATCTTTATTGTCATTCAAACATTGGCATGCCTCCTAGGTGTGCCATGTTAGGTAAGACATTATAAAAACAGAAGATGCCTTTTCCAGATTCTGTTATCTGCTGAATTCTCTTATTTTTCCTTTTGCAAACTCTGGCTTTTTAGCCTGTTGCACAGCGCCACTCTGTGGATCCCAAAGGGAATTGAGTTTTCTCTCTTTTTTTAAACTAAAGATGGGTGTTATTAACAACAATAAAATGGGTGGAAATTGAGAGCCGAAAGGAATTTCAGAAACCATATTTCTTAAATCCTATGTTATATATGAAAAATCAGAACAGAAAATTGAGTTGGTGAGTAGCAGTGCAAGCCAATTTAAGGACAACTGAATTCTAAACACGTTTAAAAATATTGGATTATTAAAGCAAGTGATGTGGCTGGACCACCTCATACTGGTTTCAATTTTCATGGTCCTTCAAAGAACTGTAAGGTAGGTACTGTATTTGTCAGCATGCAAAACCTTCAAATGTTTGTTTTTAAATAGTATTCAGAATAAACATTTTCAAAAACGTGATTTGATACCCAGAGATATGAACATGATCATATAGATCTTAAAGCACTCATCGTACCAAATAGAATAATTATAGCGACAGTGTGTGAAACAGAGGAAATACATAGGAAGGTATGCCTCTCTGGATGTGGTTAGCTGTCTTGTTCAATGCACAGATTCATGCAGTCACTCGTTTTCTGAGCATCGCTATAGCAAGATAGGTATTTGATAAAACACACAATTAAATAGTGAAGGTTTGTCTTTGTCTCACATGATGCTTCCATTCATGCTTATAAATTATTCTGGTATTACCTTCTGTTTGAAAAATTAAATACATGGTCATTGCTCTGAGTTAATCATCTAGCAGGTTCTGCATATGAATAACCCAGGCTTTGTTAACTCCTCTGCAAGTTTAGTTTAAGCCTGTCATCAAAAGAGAACTGAGTATTAAGAGAACGAGTATTAACGCGCTTTCAGGGGTGATCTGGGACTCCCCTCTGCTGCGTCTAGGCTCGCTGTTGATATCAAGCTACTGTTTGATGTTTCGTCTGTTCTAAACGGAGAGACAAAGAAACGCGTTTCCCTATAAATGAATTCAACCTTGCCCTTCACTGCAGAGGACACTCCAGTTCATGATTGTGTGTGTGTGTGTGTGTGTGTGTGTGTGTGTGTGTGTGTGTGTGTGTGTGAGAGAGAGAGAGAGAGAGAGAGAGAGAGAGAAATATCTCTAGCAAAAATAGTCTTGCACTTAGAAAGTGTAGTGACACCCACAAGCCCATCCTGTCCAGCATGCGATTGATGTGGCTGTACTCTAGCATACCATAAAATTGGATCCAGTTAAAGGGGTTCCCGTAGGATCTTGGTAAAAATAACGCTATTTTTTATACCTGCAACTAGAAGAACGGAGTGCCCAAGGAGAGGTGACCTTTTACTTCTCCCCCCAAGCTTGAGCGATGACACTTACCAGCGCTAGTGGGCGTGGGAGGCTGAGTTCCCGGGGAGGACAGCGAGCTCTTCTCCGGGACATCGGAAGCTGCCTCTTGATCTGCAACTAGGAAAAGGGAAAGACAAAATTCTGCAACTCCAGAGAGCAATTTTATCCACATTATGCTCAGTCAAACTGATCGAAGAAGATATTTGGCTGCTACTTGCTTGTGGAGGTTGTGCAGAGACCCCCTAACTGTGTGTTCTGCAGCCCTTGCGCTGGGTTTGAATTTGTATCCTGCCGATTGCCATCTGCTAGCTCACCTGGCTTCAGAGGACAGCATGCTGGATCTCCCTGTGGCGGTGCATTTGCCTGGAGGAGGCACAAGCATTCACTCTCTCTAGCTGAGTGTGTTTACCAATATGCATCTACCGAACCGCTTCCAAGCTTAAAAACATGCATCTGTTTTATAAGTTTTCCAAGCACTTGTTAAAGACTACTTATCTCTGTTTATCTGCCCATCCACTGATCTACCTGTTATTAGTAGGTGTTTTAGAGCCAGCCTCCAATCCTGCTGTTTCCTTGCTCCCGAGTAAACTTGATAAGATGCCCAAATCTCTAATATCCACTTTTTAACAATTATTTTTCTTATCTGTAAAATGGAGATACTTGGGCATGGGCACTCAGCTTTTGCAGTTTATATACCTGTATCCAATATCCTGCCTCCAGCCCTAACTCCAACTTGCTGATAACACAGACACTAGGAGGCAGCAATGGGTTCCTGCCACCCACATCCAGAGGGGTTGAGCTCCTTGATCCTGGCTGTGACTTCAGCCCAGCCCTGGCTGTTGTGTAAAAATCTTTTTGAAATGAAGATAGTTAGCATTTACCTCTTGCAGGAATGCATTCGTTTTGTGAGGTTTATTCATATAACATATGTAGTTCGAAGCCTATTTGTTACGCCTAATGCTTACTCAATGTTATTGCATACTATTAAAAATGTTTAGAAAAATTTCAGGAGGTTCAATTTGGGATAGATTTCACCTGTCAAAGAATAGGTCCATATGAAGACAGCATGTAACACCTGTGCTGACAGAAAGCCTGCTGGTGAGCCCCAGTGTTCATTTAGGCTACTGTATGGCCTATATGGCTAACTGAGCTCGGACCACAAAGATGTCAGAGAAAATTGAAGAAAAGGTCTATTGACAACAAAGAGAGGAAAAAGCTTGAAGCTATTCAGAAAAACCAAAAGCTAATTGTAAGAAGTGCAATGTATGAGAAATAGTGAGGGCACTTAGAATAAAAAATGACAATGGGCATGCAATCTTCTAGTATGGGGTTTACTTATATGAATTCTGACATACAAATTATGCATATATGTAGACTAGTTAATATGTTCAAAACTAAAGTTTGTGCTTTGATTTATCTTCCTAATTAACAAACAGCTAAACAGTTGCATTTAGAATGAAACCTGTTTTGATTAGAAGGATACAGCACATTCTGATTTATCTCCCTAGTCAATCAAAGAGTTCAAGGTCTCTGTTATTCAGTGACAAATCCCTAGCAGCACTATCTAATTCAAATTAGTTAATTTTAAAAGTTGAGTTCTTCAGTAGCACTAGCTACAAATAGTTTATTTAGAGTTTTGGGCAATTTTTCTCCATCGCTGGGAACTTGGCAGCTTCTAAATACTTAAAGCCTTCTAATGTGATTGTGATGCTATTAATGAGTATGATTTTTAGGTTGAAATATATCAATATTTAAGAAATTTGTAATAACTCAATGAATCAGTATATTCAAATGACCAAAAGAGTGTATTACAGAAGTCATGCCTGAGTAAATAAAAACAGCCATTTAGACTGCAAGACAGTTAATGGACTTTACTGTAACGGAATGTAAAAACTTCCTTGAACTCGTAACAAGTCCACACAGCAACTCGCCTTTAAGGAATTGTTGCAATATCCCCTTTCACAGAATTTTTGGTACACAGCTTGAATAACTGCTGAAAAGTAAAAATGTGCTTTTCAACATTGTTGGGTCTCTTATTTATTTTCTAAAAGACAGAAAGACACAAAAAGAGGGAGAGGCAGAGAAACCATCCCCTGAAGGATTCACTCTCCATAAGTCCATGACAGCTGAATCCAGGAACCAGGAACTCCATCCTGGTCGCCCATGCGGGCAGCAGTGACACATGTGCTTATGCCATCAAAACTACGTCGCTAGTGAATAGGAGTGGCAAAGCAGTGGAGCTGGATTTGAACCAGGAACTCCAGCTGTTTAGCCTGCTGCACCATAGTGTCCACTCCAGGCTCATTTATCTAAGAATGTGAACATCCTTCAGAGCATTTACATAGCTCGCCCCATCCTCCACACACACCAGGCTTCAATTCCACTGATGGGATGGAATAAGAAGTACAGAATGAGTCACAAATGGGTAGGAGTGTGTGTGGAAGACTTCAGTCCAACTCAGCCTGTACAGGGCCTTCTAAAGTCACTTCCTCCCTAGCTGCTTTTGGGTTGGTGAGAAAGTGGCTGTGGAAAGCATGTGGTCGTGCAAGCGGGCCTGTCAACCACAGTGACAGCCCCACAGCTTTCCCATGAGGAGGTTCTCATAGACAAAGTCACCCTGCGCAAATAACCCTTCATGGTCAGTTATTTCGTCTGATAAAAGAGTGTTGTCATCCAGCAGTTCCTTGACCTTCAGGAATCGCCTTTTCCATTGAGAAGTGTCTTGTAAAACAAGGAAGCAAAGTCCTACTAATTACAGATTTGCATAGCCACATGACTGCTGGTAGCATAAGCCTTGCCACAAAGCCTTATGAATAGTTTTTAAGTATAATAGTTTTAATACAAAGACTTACGAATAGTTTTTAAGTGCTTTATTGGACTTTCGGGGTAGGAATCATAGCACAGAGAGTATGAAATCCTAGGCAACTTCTCTTCACATTTAATATATGATGTTTTGATGGTATTTGGCTCAGAATACTACCATAGTTCAAACTAAAACTTTCCAGACAATCAAAACAAATCCAATTGTGCCTTCATATAACTATGCATGTTTTTTAGGAACATAAAATCATTTCTGTCACTATTATCTCCTTTTAGGTGAAGAACAGTGTGCTTCACATGTCTCTCCAAAAGCGCAATGGGGACCAACATGTTTAAGGTCAAGTTATGCTAGCTGTCCTCATCCAAAGGCGAGGATGATGCTGTTGCCACATTTTGTGCTGAGCCACACGGTGTGCACAGTGGGGGCTTCTACTGACACTGCTTCATTTGCCACCTTGTCACTCAGCTGGACAAGGCATCCATTACAATCATGGCATCCATTTTGCCATTAAGGAGATCTTTCTTGACAGTAATCTCACTCTGAAGGACTTTGGCCAGCCCATTGAATTTCATTTGATACCGTCATATGACCAAAACGATGAAAGACAAACAGTTCTTCTTACCCCAATCTTCAAACTGGAAGGATGCTGCCAGATTTCTCCCTTGCAGGCCTTTGTGTCGGACAATGCAGTCCACTGTTGAAGTTTTGCTGTATGTGTAGACTCTGAGCATGCTGGTGGTGTTACATGTTTTACCATTCATTTCAAAGTCATGGTGAGTTCTGCCTATGTAGCAAGTTAAAGAGATGAATGAGGTTATGGTCAGTTAGCACTATCGGGTGAGTTTGGTTCTATTACAGACCACTCATGTTGACTTTGTGGCAAACATATTAGATTTCTAATCTCATTTTAGCCAGCTACCTTGTGTGTTCTTGATCAGAAAGGGAAGGAAGTAAATGAGGGAGAGGTTTCTGTAAACTCTTCACTACAGGAGAGAAACATTGGGCTGCAAAATATGATGACCAAAGAGCTTATTCATGTTTTACAAATAAGGTAAATGAAGGGGGAAGTCTGATGAAGCAAAGATGACATGGGCCTGGGAATCAGATCTGGGCTTTAGGTCTTTCCTCTTAACTGTGAGTGGGTTTTTGCAGCTCTAAGAATGTACACTCACTCAGCTATTGGAGTCAGTGCCTGCTGACTCATAAACTACGAACAGCCTACCACGTCACAATTAACCATGCCTTTTCAATTAAAGTCTCTGAGTTCAGACTACACACAATCAGAAGATCCTAAAATGATCATTGTAGGAATGAAATAGTACTATAGTTTCCAAGGGTGATCATCTGTATTCTAATTATCCATATTTTGTTAAATATATTTTTAATTTCATGCTGGTGAAAAAGTATATGTTCAGAGATACAGCTACAAGATACTTTTATTTTGGGAGGTTTGGTCAAATATTAAGAAGTCATTATAAATAATCCACTTTAGGTTTCTACCTCGTTATTGTGCAAAAAGTCCATGGTTTGTGCTTAGCTTTTTGAGATTAGGGCATAATACTGATTGTTGGGTAGTTTGGAAAAGAGGTGACGAATTATTGAAATGGCATCATGTACCTACTGCCACCAGAGGGTGCCAGAGCCTTTAAAAAAATCCCTTGGAACTTTTCCTACAGAAGAAAACAAAGGAGAAAGGAGAACCGTTTCTGCACGTACCATACAACTCCAAGCTGTTCCCAACTTTCCAGGTTATCTGGGGAGGGGGCTTGCTTCTCGCGGTGGAGCACTTGAGTACAACACCTTCCTCTCCGTTTTGCCCTCTGAGCACTGAAGCCTCCAAGGTTGGTTTAGAAGGAATTGCTAGGGGAAAAAAAATTATACACGTGTATTTCTGTCCAAGCTGGTTGGTTTATATATCTCAACAAAGCACAAACCTAAAAGCTGTAGGGAGTGCTCTAGGGTAAGTTTAGTTGACGAGTTTACATCTACCCTTTCCCAGACTGTAGTTGTGATAAAGGGCTTTCACTTTGGCTGCAGTCAGTATGTTCGTTACTCAGTGTGTGATTAATCACTGAAAGTGCCCAAGCATGCCACACCATGCCATGGTTCTTAAGGGAGCTGTGTGTGGATGCTTCGCTGGCAGAACACCAAATAGAGAGCTTCATTGCAGTCTCACCTCCTTGGTAAGTCCCCTGACTTCTTGGTGTGCCAGGTTTCTAACCTGTGACTTGGAGAAATTAGCTCACACCTTGGTTCTTTCTACTCTAAGCATCCACGACTCTGTGACTCACCTTCAGATAAGTTACTTACATCCCCACCTAACATCCAAGGTGCATTTCTCTTATGAGGAACTTGTTGTTCCTTTTTCATCGTGCTTTAGTGTCAGAAGTGCATTTTAGTTAGAATTCTTTCTTTCCCTTTCCCACTCTACCTCCACTTTGGTTCAAAACTGCACTCTTCCACGTTTGTTTCATTCACTTCCTGCAAACAAGACCTTGTGCAGGCAATTGTTAGCTCCCAGTATCACCTGCTGGCAACGCAAAGATGAGAAAAAGATGGCCCTGCACGATGCCTGTTGTCTGGTGGTAATCTCCACCTCTACCTTTTAATTATAAATTCTTGTTTTGAGTGCAGTGGTAGAGGAATACACAGGGTGTTCTAAAAGTCCGAGCCTGGACGGTGTGGGCGATGCCCTGTGGGTGAGGAGAAGACAAGCCCTGAGCCGAGTAACTTACAATGGCTCCCAAACCCACAAGAACCTACTTCTTCTCAACGACTTTCCCTCTGTGTCTTTACAGCAGGGACCATACAAGCACAACTCAACATCCTTGTGGCAGAGGATATGAGCACATCATCCTGCAGTACAGCTACACTGGAATTCACACTCTATCAGGATACACAGCCACATAGCCATGAGGTCCTACTGCAGTGACGAGCAAATTTTACAAACTCCTTCTTGGTTGAGACAATTTCTACCTCATCTTTGGTTCCCTTGCACACTACTTGGCATATAATCTGAGCTCACTAAATGCGAATTCTCCTTCTTTTCAGTTCTCCAAGGAGAACGTGTAGTTGATGCCAGAGACAAATTTCACAAGTTCACGATTGAATCTAGGCCTTCCCTCTCGGAATGCTCTCTTATTTTCTTTCAATAAAAGTGGCAGAGATGGCCTAGGAAATGCCTTGCTACAATGCAACAGTTTTAAAGTAAAAGGTTAAGTTACTGGCCAGTGGACGTACCCAGCACAATGACTTTCACTTCCTTTGTTCTCACAGGGTTACTGTAATGCAAACACTTGTACACGCCTTCATCCTGCAGCGTGATGTTAGACACGCTGATGGACAGCTGGTTGGTCGAGTGCTGAAGAAGCTGGTATTTAGAATTCTTTAAAGCTGCACAAGAGGAAAATCAAGCTGTTAGTAAGGAACGTATTGGATGCATACAGATTGCTCATTCTCAAGAGCTGCTTTTCTCTTCACATGTTAAGAAGAGATACTGTGTCTTCAACTGAGCTGCGTTCCAAATTCTAGTGTCACCAGCTGGATGCCTCTCAAACTCAGCTTAGGAAATGAAGGTTTTTTTTGATAGTGAGAACTGTGGCTTTATTTGTGCTTGTTGGAAATTTAAAACGCTGTGCTTGTGAAGAGTTCACATTGGTAACACACAGAACTTTTTTCTCTCATGAAAATTACCTAACTATGACTTATCGTTTTGAAGTTGGTTTCATTGCAGGCCATTTTTTTTTTTTTCAGAATACACTTGAGGAATGGAAATTAAATGCATTGGCTGGATGCTTTTAGTTTTAATTTTTAAATATTTATTATTGGGCCTAGAGCAATGGCTCAGTGGCTAAATCCTCACCTTGCATGCACCAGGATTCCATATGGGCACCGGTTCATATCCCGGTTGCTCCACTTCCCATCCAGCTCCCTGCTTGTGGCCTGGGAAAGCAGTCAAGGACAGCCCAAAGCCTTGGAACCCTGCACCCACATGGGAGACCTGAAAGAAGTTTCTGGCTCCTGGTTTTGGAACTTCTCGGCTCTAGCAGACAGATTTTTCTCTCTGACCCTCCTTCTCTCTCTAAACTAGACTTTCTTTTTTTTTTTTTTTTTTTAAAGATTTATTTTTATTATTTTTTCATTGGAAAGGCGGATATACAGAGAGGAGAGACAGAGAGGAAGATCTTCCGTCCGATGATTCACTCCCCAAGTGAGCGCAACGGGCCGATACTATGCCGATCCGAAGCCAGGAGCCTCTTCCGGGTCTCCCACGTGGGTGCAGGTTCCCAAAGCGTTGGGCCGTCCTCGACTGCTTTCCCAGGCCACAGGCAGGGAGCTGGAAGGGAAGCGGGGCTGCTGGGATTAGAACCGGCGCCCATATGGGATCCCGGGCGTGCAAGGCGAGGACTTAACCACTTGCGCCACCGCGCCGGGCCCTAAACTAGACTTTCTAATAAAAATATGTCTTTTTAAAAAAAGTTTATTGTTATTTGAAGTTTCCCACAGATTGATTTAGTCCTTCCAGATATTCAGCCAATGACACAAAAGCAAGTTCCAATCAGGGTAGATATTTGAAGCTGTGGCTAAGGCGCTGCCCACGTGCCATCCTGGAGTGTCTGGATTGAGTCATAGCTTTAGCAGTGATGGCTCAAGTACCTGGGTGAGTGCCATACATTTAGAACACCTGAACCGAGTTCCTGGCTCCTGATTGTGGCCTGGTCCAGGCCTGGTTGTTGTGGGCATTTGGGAATGAATCAGTAGATATGAGGTTTCTGACTGTTGCTCTATCTATCTTTTTCTCTTTCAAGCATGTATATATATATCCAAGTAAAAAAATTATGTACATATATTTCCCACTAATTGCAAATGTTCCAGTTGAGTCAGAAACTCCTTAGGAAATCACGGAATCCTGAAATGAGTGTTTCTGTTTGTTTCTATTGTTTTATTTTATTAATCCATTTAAAAAGATCTATTTATTTATTTGAAAATGAAAGTTCTACAGAAAACAAGAGACAGGCAGAAAGAGAGAGACAGAGAAAGAGAACTTCCACCCACTGGTTCACTCAGTTGGGTACAGCAGCCAATGATGAGCCAGGCCAAAGCCAATGAGCCAGAAGCTTCTTCCAGGTCTCCCACGCAGATGTCAGAGGCCAAAACACTTGGATCATCCTCCACTGCTTTTCCCAGGCAAGTAACAATCAGCTGAATTGTAAGTGTAGCACCTTGGACATGAACTGATGCCTGTACGGGATGCTGGCAGAACAGGCAGCAGCTTTGCCCACTACATTACAATCCTGGCTCCATTTTGTTATATCCATTTTTTTTTTTTGCATTCTTAAGCTTTACAATACAAAAAAGTCTAAACTAATTAAACCTTGAGTAGCTGACCAAGGAAAACTTTCCTTATCCAGAATAATAATTGCATGCTCTGAAACACAAATATAATGGATTCCAGGAGTTCCCAACATCCTCTCTGTTAATGTTCAAAAACAGTTGCTGGGGGTCGAGAGATGGGGACTGCCCTGTGCTTTGGAAGAGGTTCAGCAATAACCTGGCCTCCACCCACTCAACAGCAGAGGCACTGCCCTGGTTGTACCATCAAAACTCTCTCCAGATCACGCCAGATGAAAAACTACAGGAACTATTCCAAGCCATTCTATTGCAGAAATTCCAGAAGCTTCATCACCCAGTTCCCCTCAAAACAATCAAACAAAAGCCATAAAAACATTACTTAATAAAATTATCTTACTTAAAGTTGTTCTCTTGGAACTTTTACCATTCCTACTTATTCTATTGGGACCTGATAGTAGTCGTGGATTTTATTTAAAATAATGCATTTGGTTTTGTTTTGAATATATCCATTAAAAAAAAAAAAACTATTCATTGAATTGAAAGGCAGAGAGATGAAAAGAAGTTTTCCTTCTGGTCATTAACGCCCCGAATGCCCGTTAGCAAGGTGGGGCCAGGTCAAAGCCAGGAGCGGAATACCCTTGGAGTCCCCCACATGGGAGCTGCTTTGCTGCCTCCTAGGACCCATTAGCAGGAATCTGGACTGGAAACAGAGTAGGTGGGATTGTTATATGGGAAGCAATCAAATGAAACAATATCTTAACCTGATGTGCCACACCCGCTCCCCGCAACACATCAATTTGTCACAATATTTTCAAGGCGTATGTAGTTGTTAAGAGGCTCTGCTTTATAAACAAGAACAGAATTGCTGTTTTTGAGACTCTTGCAAGTGTTTGGCAGGTAGAAGTATTAATTTGAAATACCAAAAGGTCTCATTAGGAAGGAGAAAGTTTATTATAATTCTATCCAAAGTCAAGGAGATGACGTAAATAGACTTTAAGGCTTCCCTTCCATCTCGGACTTCTAAACACTCATTTAAAGTGTGTTTTGAGAAGAGGGGAATGATTGTCCTCCTTTCTAGTATAATACATCCTGTTAATTTCGATAGCCTTGAACTCTCGATACTACAGGAAGATCAGAGGTGAAGAGATCAGGTGGGAGCAAGCTTTGCTCACCTGGAACGGCAGTGGTACCTCCAGGTGTGGACTGCGTGGGGGCAAGGCCTTCCCTCTTCCCCCCAGTCAGACTGCTGCCCGGCTTTTTCATTTTGCTGTGATGGTGTCATGGTCACAGAGTCAAAAAGTGATGTGGGGGTGGGGACATGGAAATGCGCCTTGTCATTTGAGCCCCCTTTCACCTCCTGCTGGTGGGGTTTCCATTTCAGACTTCCTGACCCCAAAAGAGCCAAATGTAAAGTCACAGGCTTCACAGATGCCGTTCACGTGGCGCAGGAGGTGGGCTGCACCCACCCTCCGCGTGACTCATGCAGAGTTTCCTCCTGCCAGCCTGGGTGACTGGAAAATCCCTGGCCTTGAGGTTGGGCGGTGATTTTGCTTTTCTTTCCTTCACTTACCAGAATGGTCATCTAAAAAAATGGTGAAGCCTGAGGGGGCCAGCCACTGGATGGGGGCAGGTTGCTTCAGAGAAGTGCTACAGTTGAGCGTGAGCGTGTGGCCTTCCTCCACTGTGATGGTCTCCACGTGGTTAGTCAGAAAGGCTTCTGTGGAACAAGAGCACGAGGCACAGTCAGTCTCGTGGGGCCAAGCCGCACCTGCCCTGTGGTCTCAGACTGACCTTCTTCATTCATTCGATCGTGTATTCATCTTCCAGAAATGAAGACATTTAAGTAAGTACTGGGTAATAATAGAAGAGGCGCAAGCATTGTCTATTAAGATGTTTCATGGAGGAGGGGACATGCAAATAGGTTTGAATGAAGGGGTTGGGTTTGGGAGGAAGAAAGGGAAAGATGAACAGCTGTCCCGTGTTGGGAGCTGCACCACACAAGTCGTAGGAAGGGTTTTCAAAAAGGTCACAGAGGACCTGTGTGATGAAAACACTATACACAGATTTCAACATTTTTTCACCCAACTAATTTTAATTTCACCTTGCCATGAACTTTTTACAGTCCCCTAGTATTAACTACATTTCGCTTAATGTTCAAGCTAACTCTGGGATGGGTGCCGAGGGCCAGGGCTTCCAATCCATGTTGATATCACTACGTCAGCTGGGCCATACGAGTGAGACTGCAGAGTCAGGCTTTCAGGCCTCAGTTTACAAAATGGGAATCTTATACCTTCAAGTACAAATTGTGTGTGTGGCATTCTAAGAGGTAGCCAGTGGTGACCTTGTGTGATATGGAGCTGTCCACAGTGCAGGGTAACTAAGCCCCACCCCTCCGAGAGCTTCTAGATCAGAGGGACAAGGTTCTAAGAGTTTTTCCTAATTCAATATTCCATAGCAGTACTTTTTCCAGGCAGCATGAGAATCTAATTTCCCCAAATCACAACCCTAAGAGGATGATACATAATTGACACTAAGCAGCAGCAAATTTGTATTCTCCCTTTCTTCCCCCATCGGAAAAAAACAAGTAAATTGATGAAAAAATAAACTGGCTCTAATGCTGATTTGTACATTTATTGCTGTCCATTATTTCTTCAAATTTTAAGTTAATTCATCTTTATGGGGAAGATTCTTATCAACAAAGTACGAAACACTTTCATAAACAGAAGAATACCATGGAATTTTAAATTATGAATCATAAATGTAACAAGTTTTACTGCATCATCTTAAACCTAAGAAAATCAAGAAGGGACTTGATCTTGTGATAAGTTTCAAGTATTAGGAAGAGTGGTTTGGAGAACATGGGAATTAATTGGTGCAGAATCTTTCGTTTGCTCCATTCCCAGAACATTAACTTCCATCTAGCCTCCAGCAATCATAACCCAGAATTATTGCATTGTATTCATGTTGACTTTCATGGGAAAACAGTTTGCTTGAGTTCTAATGGAACAATACCCGTATCATTAGCCAAGTCTATAACGAAGAACAAAGAGCCAATAAAAAAAGATTTGTGGATTCAAGAAAGCATTGAGGCATAAGGCCAAATTTCTGGTTAGGCTTGACCACTTGCAAATATTTTCTTTTAAAGTCAACCCATAATGGATTAGTAAGAATAGTATTAATACAGATGCTTTGAAATGGCTGGAGTTTCTTTCAAGAGACTTTTTGCTAATAAAGATTTGCAGAGTCCTTCAGTCTTGTGTCCTCACGATGTTATGTTATATAGCTGAGGAGAACAGCAGTATCAAACCTTGGCAGTGCCTCACTGTCACCTGGGGAGCTCTCAGGAACCCTGATGCCTGGTTGCACCCATTGATTACTAAATTAGACTCTTCAGAAGTGGTACCTGTCATCAGTTCTCCTGATCCCCACATGCAAGCTCTCAGATCAATGAAATCTCGAAGAATGCTGTTTCAGTGCACAAATAATTGAGGATCAGCAACCCATGGGTGCTCCCCGAGTACTTGGGGCTGCGCTGTGCTTATGCAAGAACCAAGAACGATAAGGATGAATGTTATTTTCAGAGAGAGGTCTTCCACAATCCCTCTGTAGGCAATCCAATGTCCCCCAGTTGGACTGAATGTTTTTTCAGTATGGGCCTCCTAAATCAGCCAGGGAAAAAGCAAGTGAACTGAAGACCCTTATATTAAAGTCAGTTATCATTTTAGATAGGCTGTGGGGGCTCTGGTGGGGTTGATGGTGGAGTCAAGAATAGCCAGCACCTGTCTTCATACAACTTCTGCATTCCCATTGTAGTTCTTTTTGGCCTCTGAAAAGAAACAAAGTCTACTGTCTCTTTTGTGGTCACGTATTAAGGAGGCTCTGCCTTTAGTTTCACTATCATTTTCCCTCTCTTCTACCTGCCACATCTGAATACATTATAGTTTGTCATTGTCCCTCTAAAAATCTTACTCTCTGCTGAGGACAGGGACTCAGATGAGCTGACAGGGCACTGGAGACATTCTCTAGACCCGCTGTGGACCATGTGGACTCTGTTTTCCCACTATGCCTAGGGCTTCACTCTGGAGTGGTTAATACCTCACAAGGCTCACATTGACCCAGTGGTCACCAAAAATACTCACGCCTTTTTCAGAGACCTTGTGGTTACCACATGTTTCCCTCATCCTGTATTGATAATTTAATTTGGAACCAAAGTTCAGGTTCACATTTTCTCTGGATCACTCTTACATGTGCAGTTTGGACTAAGAATTTCAGCTTTCTGAGAAATTTGTTTTTCTTTGTGTTCTCTTCTCTCCTTAGTGCCCTAGAGCTGGTATTGCATGAGCTTACTGCTGTGTTATATTGGGGAGGTATCATGCTGCAATTAAAACACATACACACACTCAAGCCAAATTGCCTGGCTCCTCCGTTACTAGCAAGACAAATTTGAGCAAGCTGTCTCAAGTGATGGTTTTAACCATTGCCCCCTAACAATTATTTGAAGGGTTGGACTGATTTTTGCTTTAAAAAGATATATTGATGGGGTCAGCCTCAAGTAACAAAACCTTGTAGCTCTGCAGTTCAACTAGGAATCTACCCAAACGTGAAGAACCACTTATTACTTGATCTTCTAAGATTCTAGCCAACACACAAAGAAGAAACACTTATAGTCACAGGAGACTCAAGGCAATTGGAACAGTTCTAGAAGATGGAGGGCTTCAGTATCATCCATGCTGATCAGGAATTCTTTTAACAGACCTGAGAGGCTAAGGATAGAGTTGGTCGCACTGCTTAGTTCATGACATACCATTGTCATTTGATGTAGAGAAGAGAATTCTGTGGAATAATAAAGTTAAACAATTATCTTCCACTTCTCCTTTCATTAGACAAACTATTGGCTGTTGAAAAATTAACTTATTTGTAGGTGTGTGTGTGTTTGTGTGTGTCAGTGTTGCTCTGAAAACACTGCTGCTCAGAAAGGAAGCCTCTGGTTACTCTGGCTACAAAGTCAAATTTAGCTTTTAGATGCTGATGACTCCGCCTGCTTTGCATCAGTGTGAATGGCCTGGCTGTGTTGCTCCACTTGGGCAGCTGACCCCATCCCATTGAGTTACTTAAGGATTCCCCTCCTACATCATCCCATCTTCTCTGTATCATTATTTTATTTTTCGTTAGTGGTACCACTGATAAATACATTGCTTATTATTTCTCCCATGTAAAAAAAATCAAACCAAAAATTTTGTACCTTATTTCCCTATTTTATTAAAATTTATCAGAAATAATTATTCACAGTTGTTGATTCTAGTCTCCTTTTAAAGTTAGGTTTTCCTTTTTTTTTTTTTTAAGAAAAAAAGAATTCATCGGAAAGACAGAGTGACAGAGAGGGAAGAAAAAGGTAAATACAGCGAAAAAGAGATCTTCCATCTGCTGGTTCACTCTCCAAATGGTTGAAGTCAGGAGACTGAACCTCCATCCAGGTCTCCCATACACATGGCAGGGGCCCAGGGACTTGGATCACCTGCTGCTTCTCTCTCCCGGCGCACTATCTGGGAGCTGGACTGGAAGCAAAGCAGCTGGGAACTGGCAGTCCCATGTGGAATTCAGGCTTAACCTGTTGTGTCACAATGCTGGCCTTCCCTGGAGGAGTTTTCCACTCCATTAGTCTAGTGAAGCTGCTATTTGTCAAAGACCTTTCCATTGCCATTGGTTAATGGTTAATGGTTTATTCTTATTCTATTCAGCCTAGTTCCATAGCCAATCAAAACATATCTACATATCATTTTCTTTAGAGTCTCCTAAGTTGCTGGTTGCTGCTTCTCACCCTGCATTTTGCATTCTTGTCAGTGAAGGACAGACTTTGGATATCTTCTCTGCCCTGTACACACTTGCTTCGCCAGCCATCTCAACTAACCTGGCTGCTTCACTAATGGCTCCATGTATAAACGACATATCAAATCTAGCAGCTATTAAGGAAAGTTTTGATTTTTTTTTTCTCCTTGAAATTGTATTCTTCCTCTAGGTCTTGTCACTGACAAATTTCAAACCTCATTAAGCAAAGAATCAGTAACAGTGGGACTGGCATTGTGCCACATCAAGAAAAGCTGCTGCCTGTGATGCCTGCATCCCTTATAGGCACTGGTTCAAGTCCCAGCTGCTCCACTTCTAATGCACCTGGGCAAGGAGTGGTGGGTGGCCCAAATTCTTGTATCCCTGTGTCCATGTGAAAGAAATTCCTGGATCCTGGCTTCAGTCTGGCCCAGCCCTGCTCTTGGGCCGTTTAGAGACTAAACCAATGGATAGAAGACCTCTCTCTCTGAAATTCTGCCTTTCATATAAATAAAACCTTTTAAGAAAACCCTAGTAATTGGGTTTGCTATTACAATTTACAGGTGAGGAAATCACAGTTGAGGTGGAGCAACCTTTGATGCAAGCTTTTAATCGTGAACCAAGTTCTCGCATGGTGATGATAGTTGTTTTACTCTCAATTCTTCTGCATTGTTTTGTTTTGTATGGTTGCTTTACATTTCTCTAAAATTCATTCCTCACAGAAATGAGTACAACATAAACTTTAAATGTGATAGTTTAATGTCAGTTCTCATGACAGTTACCACAATGCAGGTGGAGGACAGATGCTGCTTTTTAGTTGTTCATAAGAATATTGAGAAACAGGAAGGAAAGTTACCAGAAGAAAGTCACTCATTCAATTAATGGTAGGAGAAAGACCAGTGTTCAGAACGATGCCCTAATTTTATCCTTCAGGCTAGAAGCAGCACTAGAAGCTTTGTTTCTGTTCTTATCTTTGGTGAAATGAGTGGACAGGAAGATTGCATTTGGTAAGGTGAGGGTGGTGATACCTGTCTGCATTCTGTTTGGAAATAAATATCTCCAGTTTTAAAGATGTAGTTATCACTTACTATTTTTCTTATGATGCATGTTTATGAATTAGTGCTATTTAACTCTTACAGCATCTTAAAAATTGCAATGAAATGTACTATGGATTTAAGCATGAAGTACTAGATACCTTGAGATTAGTACTTTTTCTTTTTTTCCCCTTCTATTTTGTTTTTAATTTTATTTCTGTTGTTGACTTTGTTTTGTGGTTTTTCATTTAAAGGAATGTATAGTAACTGTGTAATAGAGACTATTATATTCAGATGTGAAGATATAATGCAGTATGCATCTCTACTTCCAGATCAAAGAAGACTCACAAAGTAGTTGCTGTTGCTGTTGAGAATTTTATACTTTGCTACTGACCAGACTGACTCTAACTAGAGATTCTCAAGTTATCCGTGGGTAGGGTTGTGTTTGAGAAATGGAAGTTATTTTCTCTTTGCTGCTTGTCTTGCTTTTGGTTTATAGGCCCGGTAATCTTGCAGTCTTGTGTAGACCCCTTGTTTAATTTAGAAACAGGAAATCAATGTAGAAAGGAAGAATAGCCCCAGTGAAAAGCCACAGGCTGAACCAGCTTTGCTTCAATTGCAGAGCTTAAAAATGGTGTTCAATGTATCTAGATCTTGTTAAAAAGTGGTAGGCAGAAGTGGCCATGTCTAAGTTTTGATGGCCTATCTTCCAAGTTAGGCTCCCCATGATCTCCTCATTGCCATTGGAAACCAAATCACAAGTAAACACTTTCCTCTCACTTAAATTTGAAGTCTGACTTTTACCTTTGTTGTGAGAGGGGCGAGGCTTGAAGTATCTTTCTTGCTTACCACTTCCTTCACTGCAGGCTCTGAACACACACGTGTCCTCATCCACCCTAGCCTCGGTTGTGTAGACCCCAAGAGCCAACTTCCTTGTTCTTCACATCTGGGCTTTAGTTCTTATCTGCAGATTAGCTCACATGTTGAACATAGAGATCTTGTCAATGGTCGTGGCATCTCTCCTGTGAGGTCACCATTTCCTTTTGATAGTTTTTGTTTCTTGAGTGGATTATTGACTTGTGTACTTGATCAGTTTCTCCACAATTGAATTTGTCTGTCAAAGCATGGCTATGTGTTATGAAACTGTTAGGTGAGCCTGGTGCTATAGACTGTCACTGGTTTGTACAAGGAAATGGAACTATGACCTTCATTGTCATATTCCACCACAAATCCCATGAAGTAATTATGCTGTCAGTGGATGGTTCCAGGCTGTAGCACATGTGATTAACTCTCAAACTAAAGGGCAAGCAGCAGTCACAGTCACTCACTAAAACACATGGGGATAAAGCCAGTGCCATTTTCAAGAGTCCCCTGTCTTCCCTGAGGTTCAGAGAACTGCTATGTGTAATCTTTGCTACAGGTAGTCATAGTAAACTGAAAAGCAAAACGTTCGTGCCTCAACAGCCTGACATTGCACACAATAAATTTAAAAGCAATGCAGAGAAAGTCTGTCTTGCAGGGTTCCAAAGTTCAGTCTGTCTGCTGGACTCCCTTGCTCTCCTGTCCTCTAGTGGCATTCATATCTGTGATAGATGTGTCACCTCCATCCTGTCATAGCTAACATAGATGAGTCACCTCCGTCCTGACCGTTGTGCTCCCTATCATCATCAATCACTGAGTAGCAGATGTTAGAGATGCGTCCAAGTCTCTTCCACCTGCAAAACTTCTCTTTGCTCCATTTCTTCCTTTTTACCCTATAACTACTGTGGCCTTAGTTTAGGCATCCATAATATCTTTCTTGGACTATTGTAATAACTTTCTTTTAGCTTGTCATTTTTTTTCATGAACATAAATAAATGTATATACTCAGGGATAAGTTTTTTTTTTATCAGGATACTAACTTTTCTCTGTCATTTTTACACCACATAATAAAGGCTAGAACTAAACTAAAGTCAGAGACACAGAGAAAGTTATTTCTTGAATCAGAGCATTACTTACATACAGTGACGAGGTGTTACACAAAACTTGCTTTCACTATAGACCATAAACAGAAATTTTTATTATTTTCAGATAGTCAATAAAAAATTACATGTGTGAAAATAATTAATACTTGTTGAAATCAAATTATTTTAAGTTCCATATAGCTTCCAAGATGCAGCCTCAACAATATGACAGCCTGGTCAGAAGGATCCAAAGAATAACAAGGATGGAGTGGTTCAAAATTTGACATTTCCATTATCCATAGTCTAGGTCAATGGGATGTGTTTTGGAAGTTTTTTAATTTTAATTTTATTTTACTCATTCTAGGAACTATTTACTCCAAAACTAGCCTTGGAAAGAGAAGAAGCTTCAAAGTTACGGTTGTGTGGGTGCAAATATTGGGCAGCCACTGGGGTTGCACAGTAAAAGCCCTCTGAGTGGTTTCTCTGTAATTTAATTTGCTAAAGTGAATAACATTTCTGTATTCTGCCAAAACTGATAATTTGCTGCCTTTCTGTTGATGAGAAAGCAACATGGTCATCTCCTTCTCTCCTTGGGACTCTGATGGGCCTGGACAGGTTGAGAGCAAATCAGTAACTGATGCTCAAGCAATGCCACTGAGTGGGGTGCCCTCTGGCTTATTCTTTGCATTAGCGTTGAAATTGGATTTTCCAATATTGAATATCCCAAATAATGCCAGTTGCTGCCTTTCAAGCTTTTGATCCATATCAAGGAACTCATTTTTGAAAACAATCCCATATACACACACCAATGTTAAGAAATAAATATCAAGAGACAATGTTTTTGTTGTATGCTACGTAGGCTGATATTTTTTGATTCATTCTAATTGTCAGATTATCTAATTTGTTTTAACTTGAATTTTCTCGTCTGCAAACTGGGGACGTGAATTCCTGCCTCAGTAATTTTGTAAGAATTAAGCATCATGAACACCAAGTTCCTTGCACCGTGCAAGACGCAGTATTTCCTCTTGATAGAAATAGTATTTGAGCATTTTATGTTCAAGAATATCTGCTTTAGATTTACCTTAAAACTTGATCTTTCCTGTTAGAAACTTGCTTTTATAAGCTATTTTCCTATGAGGTAATAGCTAAAAGTTTGAAAAAATTAAGGTCAGTTAAAGACTTCAACTTTGGAATAATTGAGCTCCCTGTCATTTTAGCTGTCTAAATGCACTCTTTCTGAATATATTAGCTATTTTTTTAAGCCACTTATTGAAAAAGCTAATATTATTTCCTGCCAAAATTGAATCCTTGTTAAGTGCCTCGGGGTATGGGGATCAAAAAAGAAAGCATTAATTGAAGTGAATAAAATGAAAAAAAAATTGAAGGACCATTAGATGAGAAAATCTAGTTTTGTAAAATGGAATCCTTGAGATGCCATTCTGTAGTGAATACCGATTTAGAAGAATCAGTGTGGTTTTGGAAGTGAACCACAGATTAGATGCTAGGAAGCATCGGATAAACAAGCAAGCAATGGGCTTTGGAGTGGTTTTCTCTCCATGGGTCTAGTACAAGCTGTGATCAGACACTGAGGGCCATTAGGACCTGTTCTCTATACCCTTGCCTCACTCTGGGGTGGCAATATCTCTACCAGAGCTATTAGGTAAGTGTGTCTTTCTTCAATTTTCAAAATGTTATATTTGAATAAACATCAGAAACAAACACAGCTCTCCTTGGACTCAGGATTATTTCTAAACTAAATAAGGTACTTTAACATTTGATAGTTGATTCTTAGAGAAATCCAGGTGGTCAAACATTGGGCATCATTTTAATCTTAAGGTGTATGAGCTAAATTTTAGAGAAATGGAATTTCTAGGCCAACAACTTACACAACAAGGAAGGTTTAAAATGTGAAACAAATGTCTGTCAACTGGTATACTCTTGCACTTTTCCATGGCATGGTTCCCACAGACACGCTGCAACAATCCTAGATCGTTTAAGTAGTTGAACAAGAGCTTAAATAAATCAATACTACCCCTTAGATGAGTGATTTTTTGCTGTCTCTAGAAGATGCTAGTCAAGTTACCTGCATTGTTTTCCGTAATAAGGCCTCCACAAGTGCAGGTGCCTGATCTACAAAAACCTTGGGGAAAACATCGAGCTGCCCAAGCAACAAAAAGATTCGCTCTGAGTGCTTACCTTGCAAGGGGACCCAGGCCAGCCAGCTAACCACTCTCCACCACATGGTGTGCTGTGCTGCTGTGACACTCTGTCCACTTCCTCTGGATTCTGAAAAAAGTGGAGTGGAGTCGTTTCTTTTGAAGGGGAGCAGCAGTGACTCTCTGATCTCACGTGTACCAATACCACGTCCTGTTTGGGAGCCCCCTTTAAATGAACCACCCCCCAAAACACTTCCTGGTGGAACTTTTTGGAGTTTAAATATGCCACTGTGATTACAGAGAGGTGTGAATTGTGTGTTGATGACAAAAATTGTTCTACCACAAGTGGGTAGCCCCGGTAAGTCAACCAGTTGTAAGGTTTTGGGGGGAGGAGGAGAAAGTGGGTACGAAAATAAAAAGTCCCTGGTTTGTGATGTCGTCATGATTTTTACTTTTCTAGTTTATTAGATTATTCAACTGAGTTTTGCTCAATCCCTGTGAAAGTTTCATAAATGCATTTTAAAGATTTATTTTTTCACTTTAAAATCAGTATTACAGAGAGATGAAGAAAGTGAGAGAGAGAGCTCCTCAATCCCCTGGTCCACTCCCCAGATGGCTACAATAACCACCAATAGAAGGTGCAGAAGGCTAAGCCTCCTGAGATTCTCACACAGCATATTGCAATGCCTTGTTCACATCCTGACTGCTGTCTACTTCCCACCCAGCTTCCTGCTGATGAGCCTGGGAGGTGGTAGATGACAATCCTCCTAGTTGGATTCCTGCCACCCATGTGAGATACAGAAAGCTCTTGGCTCTCGGTTTCAGCCTGGCCTACATTGGACTGTTTCATTTGGGAAGAGAATCAACAGATGAAAAAAAATCTTTCTCTCCCTATCTGTCTGTCACTCTGCCTTTCAAATAACTAAATAAGACTTTTATCCATCCAAAAATATCTTTCAAATATTTACCTACTTTTATAGGTTTGAATAGAAAGAGAGGGGAGAAATGTAGAGCTCAGAGTGTTTGGCAGGATATAATGTAATATTTTTCAAATTGTATGATCATAGGAATGCCTTGGGATTCTAGCTAAAACATCCAAATTGCTAGGATCCACCCCAGGGATATTAAATCAGAGTCTGTATGGAATTAGAGCTACCTGTATGTTTAAGAAGTTCCTTCAGTGTCATCAGTGTCATGTAGCAGGGAATAAAAAGTTGCAGTGTGTGTTTTTTTTTTTTTTTAAAGAATGAAGATTTAAGCAGCTTTGCTGAAGTGACACAGTGAGTCAAAGAACAGAGAACAAAAAATCCAGATTTCAGAGCCATGTTTGAGATTTGAATAGAGAGATCAATAAGTATATATCATCACAGCAGCATATATAATTACTCTTACATGTAACATAATTACTATTTTACTTATTTTTAAACTTATTGGGCCCGGCGCGGTGGCGCAAGTGGTTAAGGTCCTCACCTAGCACGCCCGGGATACCATATGGGTGCCGGTTCTAATCCCGGCAGCCCCGCTTCCCTTCCAGCTCCCTGCCTGTGGCCTGGGAAAGCAGTTGAGGACGGCCCAAAGCTTTGGGACCCTGCACCTGCGTGGGAGACCCGGAGGAGGCTCCTGGCTTCGGATCGGCATAGTATCGGCCCGTTGCGCTCACTTGGGGAGTGAATCATCGGACGGAAGATCTTCCTCTCTGTCTCTCCTCTCTGTATATCCGCCTTTCCAATGAAAAAATAATAAAAAAATAAATCTTTAAACTTATTTTTTATTAGGAAAGCAGACTGACAGAGAGAGCTCTTGCCCCTGCTGGTGTGGTCCCCAGGGGCTACAATGGCTTGATCCAGGCTAGGCTGAAGTCAGGAACTTCTGTAGCGTCTCACCCATGGGTGGCAGTGGCTCAAGCACTTGGGCGATCTTCCACTGCTTTGCCACGTGTATTAACAGAGTTTAACAGGAATAAGAAAAGCTAAAACGTAAACTGTCACTCATATAGGGTGTTGGCATTGCATGCAGGGACTTTACCCATTGCATCACAACTCCGGTACCTATTTTATATATCCTATGTATGTTACTGTTAGATGTAACTAAATTGGTGACAAAATTAAACAGCAATTTAATTAAATAAATAGCAGTAGGATTTCATTATTATTGTTTTTTAAAGATTTATTTATTTTATTGGAAAGGCAGATAGAGAGAGAGGAGGAGAGACAGAGAGGAAGATTTTCTGTCTGATGGTTCACTCCCCAAGTGAGTGCAATGGCTGGAGCTGAACCAATCCGAAGCCAGGTGCCAGGAGTTTCTGCTGGGTCTCCCACACAGGTGCAGGGTCCCAAAGATTTGGGCTGTCCTCGACTGCTTTCCCAGGCCATAAGCAGGGAGCTAGATGGGAAGCAGGGCTGCTGGGATTAGAGCCAGCGCCCATATGGGATCCTGGTGTGTTCAAGGCAAGGACTTTAGCCACTAGGCTACCATGCCGGGCCCCCAAAGTATTTTATATACCTAAATTTTTATTTTCCTATCCCAGGATCCAATCTTGCTTTTCTTATTCCTATTAAACTCTGTTAATACACGTGGCAAAGCAGTGGAAGATTGCCCAGGTGCTTGAGCCACTGCCACCCATGTGTAAGTCTCCTATGTGGGTGCAGGATTCCTTGACTGCTTTTCCAGGCCGTAAGCACGGAGCTGGATGGGAAGTGGAGCTGCCAGGATATAAGCTGGTGCCGATGTGGGATGCTGGTGCAGATAGGTAGAAGATTAGCTAATTAAGCCATTATGCCAGGCTCAACAGGATTAAATTAAATTAAATTAAATTAAATTAAATTAAATTAAATTAAATATTTCTATCTATCTATCTATCTATCTATCTATCTATCTATCTATCTATCTATCTAAATATATATATTTACCTCTGTGAGTCCTTCCGGGCACTTCAGTTTTCATATTTAAGTCTCTTTGAATGTAGAAGCATAAATCTTTCTTTCTAATGTCTTCTCGTTACGTTAGAGTAATGCTTTCTTTGCATGTCATCGCCTGCTCCCTCAATAACACCACGGAAAAGTGAGGGTAACATCTTTTTGAGTCTCCAGTAGACGGTGTGAGTTGCTCATGTAAATAATATAAGAAGTAAATAACTTTTTATGTTTCTGCCCGGAAGAATGCTATTGTTTGTTGGGCTTTTCAGTCACTTCCTGTAAGCATGGAGGGGGCCAGCCATACCTCTGCACCGAGGCAATAGCAGATTTTCCAGATCTTGAGCTTATTGTCTAACATGGATGCAAAAGGAAGCTTGAAAAAAGCAGCTTTTACAGAAACAAAAGTAAAAGTGTCCTCCCGGAAATTTTCAGTGTATGCCAGTGAAATAATGTGAAACAGGTAGGGGTGCAGAGAAGGCTCCTCCTGCCTGTCTGTCCCAGTTGTTGACTGTAATCTTGTCTGTTTCTTGGTAATGCACAGAATCACGGGTGGGCGCAACAGAGGGTGCACAGGACTCAGGTGACCAATCAAGCACTCCAGCATCAAAGCCGATGCTTCGCGTGTGGTCTATTCCCAGAATCGATTGATTCCATGTGTTGCTGGTGCAATCAATACCTCTGATTCAGACAGCCTTCTGCTTGAGCGTGTTAACTTATTGAGAAACAGACAGATTTCAAATTTCCAACTCATCTTACTAAATCACAGATTTGATTATGTTATTCTTCTCCTGAAAATTTAGTCCAAACTCTTTAGCAAATCTTTCAAGGCCATTCATGCTTTCTCCCAAAGACTTTCTCAGTCTCCCTTTTCTGCCTTGTTTCTAAATGCACCCGTGGAAGATACCAGTATGTTAAGCATATGCGACATTTTAATAATCATAGCTTCAACTGCTCTTTCCATCCAAAATGGGCTTTTCTTTTCTTTTTTTTTTTAAGATTTATTTATTTATTGGAAAGTCAGATATACAGAGAGAAGAGACAGAGAGGAAGATCTTCTGTCCGATGATTCACTCCCCAAGTGAGCGCAACGGCCAATGCTGTGCCAATCCGAAGCCAGGAGTCAGGAGCTTCTTCCAGGTCTCCCACAGGGGTGCAGGGTCCCAAAGCTTTGGGCTGTCCTCTACTGCTTTCCCAGGCCACAAGCAGGGAACTGGATGGGAAGTGGAGCTGCTGGGATTAGAACTGGCGCCCATGTGGGATCTTGGTGTGTTCAAGGCAAGGACTTTAGCTGCTAGGCCACACTGCCGGGCCCCAAAATGGGCTTTTCTAAGGCATCTTCCAAGGCCTGGCATAGCTCTTCTCAGAAGTTGTAACTAATGATGGGGAACAAAGATTCTAGAATCAGTCCTTTTGCATTCAAAGCTTCAGTGTCCTCACCTGTGAAATGGGTATAATGGTAGCACCCACCTGTGTGGTAGTTTTGAGAATTCTAAGAGTTGACACAATTAGTATCTGAAATGTAGTCTGCCTTTATAAAGAGTTAGCTGTTATCCGTCAGTCTCCCAGAAAAGCCAATTTTCTGTTCTTTGTTCCTATGATAGTTTCTTCATTAAAAAAATACTTCTTTATTTGTATTGGAACGGCAGATTTACAGAGAGAAGGACAGAAAGATCTGTTTCTGCTTCACTCCCCAAGTGGCCACAGTGGTCAGAACTGAGCAGATCTGAAGCCAAGAGCCAGGAGGCAGGAGCCAGGAACCAAGAGACTTCTTCCAAGTCTCCCACACGGGTGCAAGATCCCAAGGCTTTGGACCATCTAGACTGCTTTCCCAGGCCACAAGCAGGGAGCTGGGTGGGAAGTGGGGCAGCCAAGACACGAACTGGTGTCCATATGAGATCCCAGTATTTTCAAAGCAAGGATTTATACACTAAGTTAATTTCTTCATTTTTAAAAAATATATCTATTTTTCTTTTTGGAAATGCAGATTTACAGAGAGAAGTAGAGATCAAGAGAAAGATCTTCCCTCTGTTTCTTCACTCCCAAACTGCGGCAATACTGAGTTGAGCCACTCTGAAGGCAGAAGCCAAAATCCTCTCCTGAATCTGCCATGCAGGTACAGGGTCCCAAGGTTTTGGGCATCCTCTATTGTTTTCTCATGCCCCAAGCAGAATCTGGATCAGAAGTCAAGCAGGCAGGACATGATCCAGCACCCATATGGGATGCTGGTGCTGGCGTGACAGGTGGAGGATTAGGCTGTTGAGACATTGTGTTGGCC